TGTAGGGTGCCTTACGTGGTCCACAAATAAAAGGGCCACGGAAATATTACCTGTACAGTGCCTTACCTGGTCCACAAATAAAAGGGTCATGCAAATATTACCTGTATGGTTCCTAACCTGGTCCCCAGATGAAAGGGCCATGCCAATATCACCTGTACAGTGCCTTATCTGGTTCCCAGATGAAAGGGCCACACCAATTTCACCTGTACGGTGCCTTACCTACTCCCCAGATGAAAGGGCCACGCAAATATTACCTGTACGGTGCCATACCTGCTCCCCAGAAGAAAGGGCCACGCCAATATCACCTGTACAGTGCCTTACCTGGTTCCCAGATGAAAGGGCCACACCAATTTCACCTGTACGGTGCCTTACCTGGTCCAAAGATGAAACGACCACACAAATATTACCTGTACGGTGCCTTACCTGGTTCCCAGATGAAAGGGCCACACAAATATTACCTGTACGGTGCCTTACCTGGTCCCCAGATAAAAGGGCCACACAAATATTACCCGTACGGTGCCTTACCTGCTCCCCAGATGAAAGGGCCACGCCAATATCACCTGTACGGTGCCTTACCTGGTTCCCAGATAAAAGGGCCACGCCAATATAACCTGTATGGTGCCTTACCTGGTTCCCAGATGAAAGGGCCACACCAATATCACCTGTACGGTGCCTTACCTGGTCCCTAGATGAAAGGGCCACGCCAATATAACCTGTATGGTGCCTTACCTGGTCCACAGATGAAAGAGCCACGCCAATATCACCCGTACGGTGCCTTACCTGGTCCTGAGATGAAAGGGCCACACCAATATCACCTGTACGGTGCCTTACCTGCTCCCCAGATGAAAGGGCCACGCAAATATTACCTGTACGGTGCCTTACCTGGTTCCCAGATGAAAGGGCCACGCAAATATTACCTGTACGGTGCCTTACCTGCTCCCCAGATGAAAGGGCCACGCAAATATTACCTGTACGGTGCCTTACCTGCTCCCCAGATGAAAGGGCCACGCAAATATCACCTGTACGGTGCCTTACCTGGTTCCCAGATAAAAGGGCCACGCCAATATAACCTGTATGGTGCCTTACCTGCTCCCCAGATGAAAGGGCCACGCAAATATCACCTGTACGGTTCCTTACCTGGTCTCCAGATGAAAGGGCCACGCAAATATCACCTGTACGGTGCTTACCTGGTTCCTACATTATGAAAGGCCCATGGAAAGTATTTCCCGTATACGCGTACGCGTACGGCGTTTTACTGGTTAACGTTATCTAGACCCAAGTCCCTCACGCAGTCATTACCTGTAAGGTTTTCAGTGCTAAGAGCCGCACAAATGACTGTTTGTGGCTTATCCACCGAAGTGGAGTGATTATAGCCGTAAAGGTTGACGTTTTTTTGCCCCTAAAAGTTGTGGATAAACGCCGGCAGCCCTCCCCACCGCTAGCTATCCCTCACTGCAGCAGCTTATACCCCGACCAATAGCAGCGTGGAGCTTGCTGAGAAATTGACCAATAGCGGCGTGGCCGTCTTTCGTGGCCGTCCTACCATATTCTGGACCAAGCCATACCTCGATCAGCAGGATGTGTCCAGTCTCAAGGACCTACAGAGTCAGTACTAGTGGGTCAAGTGCCAAGTTTGTACTGCCAGAACTAGCCATTCATGTGTACCTGCCCTTTGACGCAGGAACTACTTACCACTACCAGTAAGCCACATTGTGCCAAGTGATTACCATGAATATTTTATTGTGCTGACTGCTGTGCACGAAGGTCTGCCGAGATCTGTAGGGGAAAATTATTATATTAATACTACCCCTAAACATGGCTGTCTGTTGTTCAAAACGTCCCATGTTGCAACCTTACTTCCACAAGGTCAAGGTAAGTGTCTATATATATATGATGCGAAACTGTCAATTCCAAACAGATATGCTACCCGTACTAGGATTGTAACGTTAACTTAAAGATGGTTAACTACGTTAAGTAAGGAAGGGTCTTGTCTGACATCATTATGAAATATGATAATCGGTACTTGGAGTCACAGAAGCAAAGCTACAGAGGTGTTCTGGCTCATAATAATGGTATTTGTTTTGACAGATAATCTTGCTGTTTGTGCTACCTATGCTTATCTGTAGTGCTCTCCAAGTGGGGCATATGGTACCTTACCCATCTGATGCTCCCCTGGGAAGCAGCTGCAATAGATGGATTAGTATCACACTCAAAGCTACAGGAGTCATCAAATATTCAAAGATGATAACATAATCATTAGTAAATTCTTGAACAAACAAGAAATGGGGCAAGCTGTGCTGTAATATTTGACTGTTGGAGATGATACCATTGTGGTATTGCTACACATAATGTCATTCATGATACATGTATGTTGTGATAAGTTTTCATTTCTTCAACATAAGGGTTGCAGGTGAAGATTTGATGACTACATGACAATGTATGACCTCAGGTTATGTACAGGGTAGTCTCAGTCTGTTACTGTGGATATGATGCATGTACACCATGGTATCTTAGGAATGCCTGTCTGTCATTGCCTGCAAGCAAAACCGGTTTTCATCTGGTTCATATTGAAAAAAACAAAAACAAAATACGTTTGTATGCTTAAAAAACATGAGGATAATCTGCTTCTGTGATGTCACGTTATGCAGAGTGAATAAGCCATGGACAGACAGTAAATTCATCAAACTTCCGACTAAATCAAATTCATGTTTCAATTGCAACTTGTTTGATGTGTCAACTGTCACTTTTTCCTACTACTTGGCTGGATTCTTACAGTGTAGTACAGAAAGTTATATTCCCTCCTTTTCCTGTCAAACTTCAAAGAATTCAGTCAGTTCCAGTACCAAGATATCTTTATTTATTTCTTTATTTCTTTATCTTTATTTTTATCTTTATTTCGCTGACCACCTGATCATCCCCTCTTAACCAACCACAACTCATGTCTCATATCATTTGCAGGCCAGAAGACTCCTTTTGATTGGACTAGTGGCGGGATTCGCGCTCTTCGTGTCCTTTGCCGTGTACGTGTACCAGGGAGAACTCAAGACGCAGCTGTGGAAACCTGCACTGGATGCCGCGTTAGAAAAAGTAAACTTAAGACGGATCTCCAACCAAAGTAATAGCTCTACCACACAAGATGTTTCTCCACATCCCATGCCATTTAATGTCACAGATCCTCTCAGTGGATATGTCAATGTCCTTGATGATAGAGGGGTGAGTATCTCTTACTTTCTTTCCATTTCATTAAAGTGATCAATTGGGTAATTAAGTACAACTTTTTAAGTGCAAGCTTAATTTTTAGTTGTATAATTGCAATCGACTTACTGGCTGTACACATTTTATACCGGTATTTCTTTTTTGTTTGTACAGAAAGAGTCACCCTTGGAGATACTTGAATATTTGTTACAGGTCTACAAATGTTGTTTACCATCAGTCTATGCTAATTAGATTTTGTGTTTCATTGCCCAACAAAATCCAGGGAAAGAGAATGTTTTAAGTTGACAGTGTCTTCAATGGACTGATAGAGGTTTGTTTTTGTTGAAAGTAGATGTATGGAGGTGTATGGGATATAGGGCAAACAATCTTATCCTCAAGAGCAGGTGCTTTGGAGAGTGGTGTTTTTGTTTAAACTTGCACTTCACTGTATTCAATGTGGTTTTGATAATCTGCCTTTTCTTACAGCATTGTGTAGCTTAGTTTTTATCCTCATTAGTATAGTCATGCCAGTTTAACTTTAGGTTAGTCACTTGGTGAATACACTCTCTGAGTGAACTGCTTGTCTCGGTGTGGCCTAATTCATATGTTGGTACATATTGTATCGTATGCTTCCTATGATGCTAGAGTAGAACTTTATGCTTTATATCAACATAAGTGATGCACATGTCTGTAGAGAAATGTGTATTCAGTTTGTTTTTCTGAAGACTAACAAATATGTATTGTTTTCTTTCCAGCCCTTGAAACTGCATTGCAATGTCTGTGCCATGGTGTCCAGTTCAGGCCAGGTGCTGAACCATGAAGCCGGGACGGAAATCGACAAAGCTGACTGCGTTATACGTATGAACGATGCTCCTGTCACCGGATTTGAGAAGCACGTTGGAACAAGGACTACTATTCGCGTGGCATCGCACACTAGCTTCCAGTTAGTAAACAAGAAAAAAGCGGACCTACTTGTTAAAAACAAGGGTTTAACATTCGTAGCATGGGGACCAGACAAAAGCATGACAAGAGATGGAAAGGGGAGGATATTCAATGGTTTATCCAAGTTAGCAAAAGAACTGAAGGATGATGTAGACATGTACATGCTGACTCCACAGAGGATGGCTTATGCTGACAAAGTGTTCGAGAATGAAACAGGGAAGCCAAGGTAAGTGGACTTCTGACTGAACTCTTTGTTATACATGTAGTACCATAAGTTAAATACCCATGAATCTTAAGCAACAGAAAAAACAACTTTAGCAAAATTGTATCAAAGTATCCAAAGCCCATGTGAGAAATGCCCACCAATGTATCCAGCATGATTTCTCATTACTGTAGAATGTAATTATACTGTACCATTAAAGCCAATTTGTTATGGGATTGCTGGCTTGAATGGGACAGTCAATCAATCAAGGTCAAACAGCATTTTCCATGTTATTTGTATAATCAAAATTTCTTTGTAGTAGTCAGTGTACTTTAATTTGCCACCAATACATCAACATGTACATTATGTAGTTGCTTATTCCATTGACTCTTTCAGATCTCATTAGTAAATTCTCTCACCCTCTGGTTCTAACTTTGTCCTTTTTTGCATGCTGACTGCAGGCAGTCCTCTGGGTCGTTCCTGAGTACAGGCTGGTTCACCATGATCCTGGCCACAGAGATGTGTGATCAGATCAAGGTCTACGGCATGATCAGTGACGAGTACTGCAAGTAAGGCACCCTCTGCATTATTGTCCCTTGTATCTTAATCTTTACATCTATAAGTCAAGTTACTGAGATCTGTTAATGTTAAAAGAGTCAAAATGTGTTGATATGTATGTGTTTGTACTACATCATGTCCTGTTGCTGTATAACTGTATGTAGTGTGTATATGGCCTGTTTTGTAATAGGTGTTAGCTTGTACTTGATGCCAACTTGACCTTTTCTTAACTCCCTACAAACCCACTCTGGGTGAGGATTTGACTAAAGCTCAGTAAGACTGCATCTAGCCTTTGGTACCTGTACATAATATTACTTAGCTGCAATTTTTTGGAATTGACTCAAATAATGAAAGGGAAAAGTCCCACCTTTTCCTATGATGTTAATGAAAATTCCAGCTACACTTCTTTTTCCCTCAAGTGTCATCATTCAACATTGAGCTTTTGTTTGTGAGCAAGAGAACTGACATGCCAGTTTTGATTTTCTTTTACTCATACTTTAGTTTATAACAATGAAATAACACAGTAGCATTGTTATTACAGGAAATTTAACTGTGTACTAGTGTGTCTTTATGTTCTTAAACATCCATCAGAAGAATGTCTCAATTCACAGTTGTTTGGGGGCCAGTTCTCTGAGGGAAGGCATCATCTAGAGCACAATCCAATTCTTCATTGGTTTACTTTTTGTTGCATGTAGAAAGTACCCACAGGATGAGACTCGGTACCACTACTATACCAGCCCAGGCAATGGCCACGAATGTGACCTGTACAAAAGGCATGAGAACGGCAGGAAGAACGTACATCGATTTATCACAGAGAAAACCGTTTTCTCTCGCTGGGCGACCTTCCACAACGTGTCATTCCACTTCCCCTCATGGCATTAACACAGACACTAACCAGGGAATTGGTGTGTAACCACGATCGTTGTGTCACCGTCACTATGTATGTCCAGAACTAGCACAAAATGATGCACAGTTCTCTTGCTACCCTGTCCCTAACTATCTGCCTCTCTAAACGCTCGTCAACCAGACATTCTTTATAATGATCTGGGCTTCAACTTTCAAGAACTGGCATTCTTTCTCCCCTTGATGATTCTTTTTCCCTGCCTTGTAGGAAAAGGCCATTTCAGTCTTTGCAGTGTTTCCTTGGTCTCGGCTCTTCTGACTCTTTCTTTTTTTGCAAGCTGTGACCAACCACATTAGAGAGCACCACATCTTCATTTTTGACAATTGCCAGGAAGTACAGAAGAGGATTACATACAGGTTTCTTTTTTGTTCAAACCATTTTCATTATCTTGCGAGCTCAAATAGGAGAAACCTAAGTGGAACAGCCTCACCTATACATGGCTAGATATGGCTGAAGTAGTAACTTCAGTTCTCATATATATACATGTATCTTGGATACATCTGTATTTGGAATAATGCTTTTGTGACAGGGAGATATTCTGCATTCTTTAAATTGTAATGTTGGATTTCTAGTTCCTCCCATTTTAACACTTAGAATGAAAGAAATTTTGGCATGAGCATTTCCATCTTTGACTTGCCTGTCCTCTCCTTCTTGTCTACATTTCCATACTGTACCTCAAACAGTGCACCATCGTCTGTTGTAGAGTGTCGTGTGTTTCTGTCTGTATGTTTGTCTCATGTTAAGTGTCAACTGCCAATCACAGTACAATGTCACCATTACATGCATTATATTTTTCATGCTTTGCATAACAAACTAATCTTAGTATTTTTGTAGGCTTGTGGATAGTTTGCTGCTTCCAATTCATAACCTGTGGATGATATGATTTGAGATGACAAAATGCTCTCAATTGTTTGTTGTCTCTTCTATATTCTTTCCTTTTCCCATAATTTGTTCTGTATGGCTTATCAATAATCATTAATCGTTTGCAGGTGATTGGTCTGTCATTATAGTTTTGCAATTTTTTTAGCACCTGGTGATTTTTAGCTATGCAACCTTTAGCCAATTTTCTTTGTAGGAAAAGATGTCTAACAATATTCATTAATGATTTAGACTGTTTCACTTATTGTTACTTTTCCTGATGAAGTAACCTGCTTGTCCCATTGACTGATTCACTGCATTTATCAATTAGCACAGCATTCATCTCTCAGCACTGTAACATGTGTGTACGTCTTTCTTTTAGTAGCTGCACAATATGTTGTGTGTGTGTGTGTGTGTTGCAAACATGTAAATTGTTGTGATTTAGCCCTAGTGGTAGATTCATGGTGTTTTTGATTACAACTGGCTCATTAAAATTAGTAGAATGTAAGGAACCAAAGTAAATTTGCGAAAGGCCTTCATTCCCTGCCTGTTTTTCATCATGATTAAACTGACTCAAACAAGCTAAAATTGCTTTTAAACCTGGCTGGGTCCTGTCTCCAATAGTCCCATGCTATTGTGTGTTTTATGCTGTGTCATACACCTTGCATATATATATATACCGTTGCCCATTACCACAGTGTATATTCACATAAAAGGAGCAGTCACACTGAACCAAATTTTGTTTTCAACAGTCAATAGGATATCTCTATGATTTAAAAAGGGTACATGTAACAATGATGGGAGTTTGTGGAAAGTCTCCACAGTTTGTGTTGTGTTTTGCTAACTCATGGTGTTTGTGGCACTGTACAGGAAATCCAATGCCAAGCCCGTGCTGTACCACTACTACGGAACCAGTAAGCTACAAGAGTGCCACATGTACAGAGCCATGGAGAAACAGAAGAAGGGGGGACATCGCTTCATCACAGAGAAGAAGGTCTTTGAAAGATGGACGAAAGAACATGACATCACATTCCACTTCCCCACATGGAAGCCCAAAGTGTGATTTTGTTAAAACTTTTTTAGTTCCAGACAAATGATTTTATTTTACTTTAAGGTAGATTTTGATGGTTGATAGGCACAGGACAATTTTAGGTGCATAATTAAGAATGAAATACTCCACTATAGTGCCATTTATTATACTTATAGAGGCACATAGGTAGGTCTTCACTTGATAGTGAACAGCCAAGAGTTGCACTGAATTTTAGTATGTATTTTTCAATGGGAGAAGTTTTATTCAAAAGTCAATGGCATTGTGTCATGATGCAATGGTAAATATAGAACTAATCACTCTGCATTTTGTTCATTTTTCTTCTTTTGATAAAGAATGTTCAGTTCTACAAAAAACGAGTAACAAGACCTTTTTTATCAAATCTACTTTCATATCTCCAAGGCCAGCCTATCAAAGTACTAGTTCTTTTAAGGCATGTTGTTGTGTGCAACATATCAAATTTGAAATGTCTTGGAGCAGAGTGTAAGGAGCCGTATTTGAACACTTAGCACTCTACCATACTTGTTTATTGATGATGCAAATACGATGCTGTGTAACACCTATTGGCTGGAAAAGTTAATGTAAAACATGCCATGACAGCCATGTAGATAGCAATGATAATATTAAGAATCATAGGTATGAGCACCATATGTAATCAGTTCCCAATCATAGTAATAAACAAGCCATAAAGAAAGCAAATAATTTGTCAGTCAATTGTAACAAACTCTCCTTGGCTGGGATGTTTGCTGCGATCTTCATTCAGAAGAAATGTTTAAATTGGCCTGTTAGATTGACATAAAGAGTGCTTATGATCAGGCAAAACTTATTTCAGAAGATAAGAGGAAGAGAGAAATCCTGCCAACCTAGGATTCAGTGGTTTAATATTGTTTCCCTGATCCTAGTTTTAATGGGTGTGGCTATTGGTTGAAATAACCGATTTTTAAATAATTGGTTTAGTATCTTTTGGTCTTATTTTTGTAAATTAAGACTTGTCACATGAGTTTGTAATCAATTGTAGTCTTTTCTTAAGTTTTAGTGATTTAAGTTATAGTGCTTCACAAGAAAGTGGGCATCTACTTCTCGATATGTTATTTTAGACCAGCTAGACTTCACATTTTCCAAACATAATGTTCTGGAGTTAACTAGCTGGAAATGTAATCAAGTTCCAATAGTACACAAGAGGTTAAAAATGCTTGGACAGCTTGTATGTAGGAGTACTACCTCAAAGGTTTCTCACAAAGTCCGAACAAAAAGGATGTTTAAGAACATATCTATACAGCATTTGTAGAACCATTCCTTTGTAAGTTTCTATTACTTCTCATGCAGATATACATGTATATGTGTGTATCTTTGCCTTTCAAAGGTTAGCATATAGCATTCTTCTAACTGCAAGCATTTTCATAATCACCATAATCTTACCATGGCAACTTCTGTAGAAATGAACAGTAAAAATGAAGAGGTACAATGTATGTTGCATTATGTAGTGTTCCTAATTGTTATTTTGGTATTCGTAATATCTCTTCAACAGTGCACAGTAGCGAGGTACCATTGTTGAAGTCTAAACATGCACAAAATTACTTGAAAGGAAAAGTCCATATTGTAAAAGTAAGGAACAAATTACATCAAAAGTGTACTTTTATAAAGATCACAAGGTTTGAAAATGACCAATAAAAGATGTACTTGTGTGGGTATTGTCATTTGTCATGATTTCAATATGGTGCTTTACTTTATCTCATAGGAATTTTATTTCAGAGTACACAAGTTATAAAACACTCTTGTTGTGAAGACTAAAAAAATTGCCATTTTGAATGCAGATATTGTTTAAAAATACAAATGCAATTACAGTACATGATCCTTTCTGTGAAAGGAGATTTTGTTAATGATCAGTATTATTTTGCAACAGCATTATGTGAAATGCACGATGCTTTACATAAGTCATAAGTCTTTGCACTGATGAAGTTTTTCATGTAGTATTGAAAATTACATGTCACAAAAATTAATTTTTTCTTAAACAAATCTAGCCTGGGTGCCATCCTCCGTAGTTTTCGCTTGCTCCCTAATGTTGCTGGCTACCACGACATTAGGGAGTGGGTGGAAACTATGGAGGATGGCACCCAGGTTAAAACAAATCTGCCATTCTCTTCTGTTTTTGGTCCATAAGCAACCATCTTATAGTTTTGCCTTGGCAGACTCAGCCCTTCTCACCCTGACATCCATCCTATCCACCCGACACCCTGACAGGTCTGCCTGCAGCAGCTCCTGTCCTCGGGGATATCTGTCCAAGAACCTGTCAATCATCCTTTGTTGCCCTGACGACAGACTTCGGTAGTAGTCGCTGATTCGCTGCAGCATCCAGATAGGGTAGGTGTAAATACTTCGCCGACTGGTGACAGAACCCAGTTTGAAGTTGTGCCAACCAATGACACGCGGCAGGACATCAACATCTGGTTTGTCCTGTGATTGAATTATGTCATACAATCAGTACACACAAGATGGAATTACATCATGTACATTGCACATGCATAACACCATAAGATCAACAACACACCCATGAAATATTCTACTAGCCAGTTTCATGTGTATAAAGGTACATGTAAGGTTATGGTGTCACGGCAAATATGAAATGGGGATCCTGACTGGTCGATATCTTTCTGGCTATGTACATGTACATGATAATGTTCAATATTGCAACAGAATAACCTATAGATTGAAGTACATCACCCCACCCCTAAAAGGACAAAGCTGATGACAAAGTATGTGCCAACTGATGTTGGTAGCTATAAGAGGTAGAATAATAAAGTCACAGACACACACCTTCATGTACTGAGTGACATACTTCACAGTATCCAGCAGTACAGGCACCTGTTCTGTGAACATCCTCTGCAGTATTGGCTGGAGGGTCTCTGGGATTTCATCCCCTGGTAGGAAGCCCTGTTTGTCTGGAGATACAGACTTCTTCACAGCCTTTCCATTCACTACATCATGGGTGGGACTCAGCAGAGCACTGTTCATTCTCTCCATGTAACTGGCAACTAGAGGGGCCTGGCACTTCATCAGGTAACCTGGCAGGTCATAGGAGAGGAATAGCAGTTGACAACTATAGCATTACAGTTAAAGTAACCATAATCATAACTGGTCACCAGAAGGACTTAACACTCCATATCAAAGGACACCTGGAGAGAAGACACAGTCTCATAAAAGAAAAGCACTCTGCATGGTTTACTACTTAACCCTCTCTCAGCTGAGGTGGTCATTTGGCATCAAATGTTTACTGTATATGGATGGATGGTCATGTACTATGACTGGTGTGTTGTGTGTACAGACTTGAAACAGGGTCTCTGTACAGGTGTGCATACAGAGGCCCACAGAAACTAACTAACTAACTAACCAACTCCTTACCTGGGACAGGGTCCCTGTACAGGTGTGCATACAGAGGTCCACAGAAGGCGAAGTCTGCCACACACGGCTGGTACCCCAGCAGGTAGGGATACCTGTTCAGGTGCTGCTGGAAGTCTTCCAGAAACTCCTGGTACGACCTCTCAATTTCTCCAGTGGTGTCTTTGTTGACTCCCATATAGCGAATGGAGTTCTAGAAAGAGCATCAACTTTGTAAGTTTTATGTGCAAAAGAAAATATTGTACATGTATGTCAGTAATATGTATGTCAGTGCAGAAGTATTGTTTTGGGTGGCTATGTTGTGGTTCTGTGTGTCTGTCCATGTAGGCAGAGTTGCGAGAAGGGTGGGAGGAGATTTTGACAGATGATTGATAGAGACGTGCACCAGGTGGTGCAGTGGGCAGTGATAAATAATGTGGGGGGTTTGAGGAAGTGGTGTGATGCCCGATAAAAATACATGATACACCTTACCTTAGACCTTAGTTCCTCCTGTGCCGAATGGCACATCGGGCAGCAAGCTTCCACTTCTTTTTGTCAGCGGCCACTGTCTCCGCCTCCTCCCAGGGGATGTTTGCCCTTCTTAGATCATCTTGGAAGGTCCTGCGCCAGGTGTGTTTCGGCCTTCCCCTCTTTCTTCTGCCGTTGTGGGGTACCCAAGTCATCGCTGTCTTAGAGTGCCTTCTGCTGGGCAGACGGAGGATATGTCCTGCCAGCTGCATCCTTTTCTCTGTTATGATGGTACTCAGAGGCTTGGACTTGGTCCTGTTCAGGATCTCATCGTTCGTTATGTGATCCTGCCACCTCACCTTCAGTATCCTCCTCAGGTTTCTCTGGTGGAAGGCGTCTAGCTTTCTGGATGCTTTAGCTGTACATTTCCAGGTTTCGCTAGCGTAGATTGCAGTGGGTAGGACAATACTGTTGTATAGTCGGAGCTTGGTGTCAAGGTTGATGGTGGTTGCTGACCAGATGGAGTTCATCCGTCGGAACACAGAAAGCTGCTTTCCCCACCCTACAGTTAATGTCAGGGCTCTACTTCTCCGCTGTTACTGATGACACTCCCAAGGTAGGTAAACTGATCCACGACCTCTACCTGGCTGTTGTTGACAGTGATGTTCAGTCGAGGTTGACCTGTGTGGTTTCCCACCTCCATCGCCTTGGTCTTCTCCGAACTCACCCGTAGCCCAACTTTTCCAGAAGAGGTCTCCAGTTTCGTGGTAAGGTGCTGTAGGCCTTGGTTATTCTCGGACAACAGAGCAAGGTCATCTGCAAAGTCTAAGTCCGCAAGTCTGGACTCTTCCCTCCACCTAATGCCCTCCTTCCCGTCTCCAGTGGTCTTTCTCAAGACGAAGTCAATTGTGATCAGGAACAAGAAGGGGGAGAGGATACAACCCTGTCGGACCCCTGTGATGATGTTGAAGAAGTCTGTTGTCCCTCCCTCCGTTCTCACACAACACCTTGAGTTTTCATAGAGGCTCTTAAAGATCCTGACAAATCGGGCTGGTATTCCGTATGACAGTGCAATGTTCCAGAGGGTCTCTCTGTGGATACTGTCAAACGCCTTCTTGAAGTCAATGAAATTTAAAGCTAACGGTGTTTGGTGTTCCAGGCATTGTTCGATGATGTTTCGAAGGGTAAATATCTGTTCTGTGCAGGAGCGGTTGCTGCGGAAACCAGCTTGTTCCTCTCTTAACAGGCAGTCCACAGCTTTCTTCAACCTCCTGAGGAGTACTGCGCAGAATACCTTTCCAGGGATGGATAACAGAGTGATTCCCCGCCAGTTGTTGCAGTTGGAGAGGTCTCCTTTCTTCGGAAGCTTCACGATAACTCCCTCCTGCCAGTCCCTAGGAACCTGCCCCTCTTGCCAACAGCGGTTCATCAGCCTGGTCAGCATTCCACTGTACAATCCCCTCCATGCTTAAGCATCTCAGCCGAGATTTCATCCAGTCCTGCTGCCTTGTTACTTTTCATTGCTTTAATGGCCTCCTCCGTTTCCTCTTTCCTGACTGGTTCCTCGCAGACATCCAGCTGCTCTGCTGTTTCCTCTGTACCAAAGTCATACAGGGTGTCCGGGGTTGGTTGATTCAGCGTTTCCTGGAAGTGTTCAACCCACCGTTGATCTTGCTCTTCTGTAGTTAACAGTGTCTTTCCGCTCTTGTCTTTTACTGGTACACTCGAGTTGTTCCAGTTTCCAGAGAGCTCCCTCACCAGACGGTACAAGGTCCTTGAGTCGTTTTCTTGGCTGCCTCCTCAGCCTCTGCGCTTTTCTTGTCTAACCAGTGTCTTTTGTCTGCACGGCAGCACTTCTTTACTTGGCGGTCAAGGTCACGGTACTGGTGGTCTGTTTGTTCTTTCTCTTCCTCGGTCTTTGCTCTATCTCTGAGCCCCTTTGTCTTCTTCCTTTCGTCAATAAGTTCCCAGGTGTGCCCCTGTATCCATTGTTCCTTCCGTGAACCACGCCTTCTCCCAATGGTTTCCTCTGCGCTCTTTGTGACTGTTTCCTTAAAGAGTGCCCACTGGTCTTCCAAGTCCGGCCCCACTGTCTTGAAGCAGCTGGAATCTGTTCTGGAGTTCGAGCTTGTACTGTTGACTGACCTCAGGGTCCTTGAGCTTCTCAGCTGCATACGGCTTCACTTTCTTCTGCACTGTGAGCTTCTTCAGCCTTAGCCTCACCCTTGCTCCAGCAGATGGTGGTCTGATCCCACGTCTGCACCCCTGAATACTCTGACGTCGAGAAGCGATGACCTCCAACGTTGGTTTATGCAAACGTAGTCTATCTCGTTTTGCGTCGTCCCATTTGGTGATCTCCATGTCTTCTTGTGTATCACCTTATGTTGAAAGTAGGTATTTCCGATGTTGAGGCTGTTGATGTTGCAGAACAACAAAAGACGTTCCCCGTTTGGCACTAGTTTTCTGCGCTGTCCCAAACGGTCCAACGACACCATCAAACCCTTGTCTGTTGCTATCAATTTGGGCATTAAAGTCTCCCATCAAGATTTTCACATCATGGCTAGGGATGTTGTCAAAGGTGTCCTGTAACTGTTCGTAGAAGTCGTCTTTGTCCACTTCATCAGCATCTTCAGTTGGTGCATATACCTGGACAATGGTAGTCTTCCCATGTCTCGACTGAAAGCGTGCTGTGATGATCCGGTCATTGACAGGCTTCCACCCAGTAAGAGCTCTGGAGGCTTCTTTATCCAGTACCATGCCCACTCCACGGCGGTGTTGGTCTTCATGTCCGGAGTAAAGGACTGTCTTGCCATCGCTACACAACTTCCCGCTACCCGTCCATCTCATCTCGCTGATTCCTAGAATGTTCAGTTGGTACTCTTCAAACTCTTTCAACAACTGGGCCATCTTCCCAGTCTGGTACAGTGTTCTCACATTCCATGTTCCAATCTTCGTTTCCCCCTTGGCACTCAGAAACTGGCACATCGGGTCTCTAACTTCCTTGCGGCTTTCATTAGAGGCCGTCACTGTGGATTCTAGTCCACTGCCATCTTCCTTGCGCCGATCCCTCTGGTTTCCACTTGCTGTTTCTGTAGCAGGTTTATGTTTTACTGGGTTGGGGTGCTAACCCAACGCCAAACTCCCTCTATCGAGGGAGGTACAGGTCGGAACTGCTAATTAGTACCTCCCTGGTGTCGTAAGCCCCCCGAAGGTTACAGGTCTCCCATGCACCAGACCCAGGCAGGACACCAAGTCGGAACAAGCTGCTACACCTCGGCAAGGTTACACAGTTCCTTATCCTGGTGGGGTGAGGGCCCCCAGGATCGTAACATGATACAATCCAAGCCCAAAAAACAAAATACCAGGTCTGACATCTGACTGATTTCTTGTCAGTTAACTGAAGTCACCATGAAGTTCATCCTCTATTCTTTGGACAAACTTTGCTGGGATTTTTTTCCTTGCCTTCTTTCCGAGGGAAATAGATTGATGATTAGATTACCTTAAAGAATCTGTAGTTCTTGAAGTCGTCCAGGTTTTCCATCTGTTCTAGCGGTGAGGCATGTTCCTTGATAATTCTACCAGACTGTACGTCTATATACTTCTTGTGTTCAAGTTTGTTCCACCTGCAATGGGGGAATGTTAGTATTCAAAGGGATGAGCTCAGAAGTCAGGATCCAGAGAAGTCAGGATCCACGCATCATGACCCTCAGGAAGGTAGAAAAAAAGGACAACTATCAAAATACAGTATTGGCAGTGAGAACTTGGTTGTGTACAAGAAAACTCTAATATTTATCAGCCTTTAAGCGACTATCTCCTTTTCCAGATGTCAAGCCAGAGACCTGGAAACTGCAAAGTTTGAACCACTCACACCAGGAAGGACTCTTTAGTGTGATAGGTTCTTTTATGTGCTTGAGGTGTGATGCTCCTCAAACACGGGACCTCCTGCTTTATGTCCCATCTGAGAGGATGTCCCTAAACTATTATATGAAGCTAGGTACTCATTTTCGACTGAGCCAAGTGAGGAAACAGGTGTAAAGTGCCTTTTCCAAGGGCACAACATTGGGAACCCCCAAAGATTCGAACCCAGAACCTTCAGTCAACAACCCTAACCACAAGACCAGCTCTGTATGTGTACCTGTAGTGCATGGCAGGAATCATCAGCCATTCATCTGCAAACAGTTCCAACAGCAGGGACACCAGGTTCTGTCTGGGGGTGGGAGGTACTACTGCAGGATGGGGGTGTTCCTTTTCCAAGTACTCTATGATGGCGGTGGTGTCCTGGACCACCTTGTCCCCAGGGGTGATGATGACAGGAATCACGCTCCACCCCACCCTGGGGATCAGGATCTCCTGCCGTACCTGTAGATCATCAGGAGTGAATGAAGACCCCTTGTAGCCAACCAGCTTGCTTCTTATATCTTATATCTTATCTTATATGATTACTGAGCCAAGGTCCCGCGAGGGACATGCTCAGGGACTAGGAGGTGCAGAGCCAAGCGCGGCCGGTGGTGCTGGCGGTGCGTAAGCGCGGCCGGTGGTGCTGGTGGTGCGTAAGCGCGGCCGGTGGTGCTGGCGGTGCGTAAGCGTGGCCGGTGGTGCTGGTGGTGCTTCATACATATATTATTGGAATATATGGGAACACATTATACAGGTTTCAGTCTGAAATTCTACTGTTTTCTGGCAGGGGGCACAACCAGGTCGGGACCACTTTTTCTACCACATGACCAGACCACTCTTTCCACCAACCCACAACAAAACATGTTACCAACATCTGTAGTCCCTGGCGGGCGGGGCTAAGAACTTTAGGTATAAAATAGATTTAACTTCTCCTTCCTTTGTAGCTAAGCAAAAAAGTTAGACACGTTTTGCAATGGAAGGCTTGTCTAGCTGTACAAACAATCTAGCTGAATAAGTGTGGTTTGTATCATAAGAAAATCTTGATGATGACTTACCTCGACTGATGGTATAACTGTCTCATAGGGAATATTCTTGTATTGTAAGTAGGGTCGGATCTTCCCAGAAAACATAGATGGCTCATGTGCAATGAACTGGTAAACCTTCTTGTCTGTTGCCATCCTAATAATGATTATAAAATCAATGGAGCAATAAAAAGCAAAATTCAGGCACAAAAAGGTAACTTTAATCATAGTATACATCGTTAACTCAAAAATTCAATGTTAGGATATTTGTACAAAGTCCAAATACTAGTAGCCCGTTTATACGGGAAGGGTCAATGACCGAGCGGATAGATTGAGCAGGACTCAGGAGAGCCGGGGATTATAATTAAAGTTTCTTAAAACACGTCTTCCACACTCGTTGCTTGATGCATGGCTCCGATCCGAAGTTGCCGAGGTCGCTGTCAAGCCATGGACTTGCTAGTTCACTTTTAAATTATACCTGTAACGTTTAATACTTACATGTGCATGGAGTTGAAACTCAAACTCAAGAAAACTTTAACTTACTTGTATAAAATCTACGATGCACAAGGAGGTTATAAGTCGTCCAGGGTTTGAAACTTGAATCTTGAGAAAATCCCTCTGGTGGCCCGTTTGATTCAAGCTGGAGGTCGTGGTTTATTGAAGTGCTCATAAACGGCAACTTGTGTACGACTTCTGAACTTTAAACTACCAGTCCATAAGCACACAACAGTTCGTGCCGCTAAAAGGCGCTGCTAAGTCCATACCATTGATACTGGAGGGGAATGGGGAAACTGTTGTTATATATAAACTGACAGCGAGTGCATCATTGTAACGTTATCATTTACAACCTATAAACATATTAAGTTTATGATTACTCTTTTATTTTAGTGTGAGTATTTACGAGCTAAAAAGCCATAAACATGAATATCACCCACTGAACAAATGTATCCTTCCATTCCCCTTTGACCCAAAATTTGGAAAGTGAATGCACGTGGAAACATGACTTCCGTACAAAACAGGTAAACATGGTTTGTGAGGTTTAGTTTCAGCGCTTTTTAAAACATAGAACGTGTATACTGATGGTTAAGCACACGGTTAATGTTATTATACTAAGGAGGGAGCTCGGAGTCCGGATTTTAGATATAGTATACTTACTCTATATGGGGAGGGGCTTCCAGTCAATTCTGGAAAAAGTCCACGGAAACATGATAAATGCTTTGCCCCATCCAAGAGAACGTCCCCAACCGAAGCTAGGTTCACATTTTACTTGGTTAGAGTGTGAAAATAGGTCTCAACTTTTTCCTAATTAAGGCACAACTTCCTATTAAAGGACATTAAACTTGGGCCTTTCCTTTAGGGCACAGCTTTAGGGCCTACTGCTGTATTACGTGTAGTACACGTAGTAATGATATAACTACCTACCACGATTTTTGTCTAGAACGTGTGCTTCAATTGTTTCCTTCTCAGGAAGTGTGAGAGTTGTGGTGAGGACATGCCTAAGTACAGGTGTCCCAGATGTGACCGCCTCAGCTGCAGGTGAGAATGCTAAACAAACCTTAAGTTAAGGCTTTGGAACTCTTCATGAATGGAAATGTTTTTCAAGTGGCAGATATATGTTAACTGGTGGATACATGTAAATATCCATGGAGGTTACACTTAAATGTGAAGATATCAGAAAATTATGTACGAAAATGTTACTGTGTATACTTCTATTGTCTATATAACATTTGTGATGACTTCCTTCAGCTTGCCCTGTGTGAAGAAACATAAGTCTGACCATGGTTGTGATGGGGTGAGAGACAAGACTGCGTATGTGCCTGTCAAGGAGTTTACAGAGAGACACCTGCTCAGTGGTAAGTATCAGTATCATGATATCAAATGGCAGTATTTATGAGTATCAGTCACATTATGCCAAAAAACAGTTACTCAAGCAACTGGATATGATTTTGAAAACGTCAGACGTTTCAGCTAGTATCCACTAGCTTTCGTCAGTGACTGAGAGACCAGAGGGGAAAGCAGGTTTATATACCCAACCTGTTGATTGATATGCAAATAAAGTGAAGACAAATTTTTGGAAGTCGAAAAAGGAACAAAAGTCAGACAAGTCAAGACAAGATGATGCAAATTAGTCTGAAAGCTCCTGTTATACAGGACAGGGAAGGGGGGCTACGGGTCGATCTTTCCGGCACTTGGG